GATTGCCTGATCAGCGAATGGAGTAAAGTAACTGGTCCCACTTACAGCGGTAAAGTTCATTGGCTGATCAGCGAGTGACAGATGATGACTGGTCCAGCTTGCAGTGGTGAACTTGATTGCCTGATCAGCGAATGCAGTAAAGTAACTGGTCCCACTTGCAGCGGTAAAGTTGATTGGCAATTCAATGATTTACTGGAAATACTCTCTCCAGCGAGCAGCGGGTTGCCTAATAGGCAATTAAATGATTCACCGGAAGTTGTCCCTGCTAGCAGCAAACCGCCTGATTGGCTGTTCACCATGTACGCTTCTGCATGTCTCAAAACCTCCCCCACTCCTTGCACGCTGCCCAAAGCAAGTCCCCCTGTCTCTCTCCCTCTCTCTCTCTCTCGCAGTCTCTCACTCCCACTGTGAAGTCTACTTCTCTCTCACTCTCCCTCTCTCTCACAGTCTCTCACTCCCACTGTGCAGTCTACTTCTCTCTCACTCTCCCTCTCTCACGCGCACACWCACACAGTCTCAGGATAGCTCATTCACTCCCTTCACTTTCCGCTGGTTCCAAAATTCGAATGCACTCGGAGTCTTGGACTCATTTCACGGTCAGGTGTGTGATCTTGATAAGTAAAGAAGCAGACTGTCACCTCTTGCATGTTTCCCTCTCTCACTCTCATTCTCTCACTGACCCTCTCTCTCACTGTCCATCTTGCATCCACTTTTTCACTCGCCCAACAACTGATTTTCACTATCACCGTCTCCACTTCTGTAACGTTTTACCAAATACTTGCCAACGTTGCCGATAGACATGTACAAGTATGTTTTCGGTCATACACATTCACAGTTCACTTTCTGATGTTGCAAAGAAGTTCGGTATCAGGAAGTGAGTTTTGATGTTCATGACTTTAGAATTACAATTACAGATGGGCTTCGAAGGGTTTCCTGGAAAATGGGATGTAGCATACATTGTGGCCCGCCTCAAGTTGTCACCTATCATTTGTTCTCTTTCTTTTTCTTGCCTATTTGGTCTGCTTCACAGCTTGTGCGGAAACAACAAGATCCAGTGTCCAGAACAAGAGACCTGTTGCCTGGTAGAGTCTGCCTCTGGCCTAAACACTGCAACCTTGCCTCTTCCTGATGGAACTCCATTTTTCATCCTAGGATGTCCATTGTCCTTCGGGCCTCATCTGCTTTCATGTTGTGCTCCTCTTTTTCCTAATCTTAGCCCTCAAACCACCACCAACGAGCCTTGCTAAGCCTCATGAGCGAGCTGCTGGGGGAGTGCCAAACTGACAGTGCAGGAACCCAAGAGGGCATCTTTTCCGTTTCTTAACTTCCTGCCGTGTTGAGGGTAGATGCAAATAATAAGATAATAATAATTATAATAATAATAATAATAATAATAATAATGATAGTGACGAGCACTCACCGTCTTCTCGACTTCTCTTCTCTCGCACGTACTATCCTCGGCACTCTCTCCACAACTCTCCCACTCTATCTTCCTTTCTCTCTCTCTCACTGCCTCTCCCACTTGCTTGTTAACTCTCTTCTCTCTCACTCTCTTCACTCTCTCTTTCGCTCTGACTCCCGTTGCCACACGGTCGTCCCCCCCCCTTTTTCTCTCACTCACACACTCACACGAATACTCACCGTAGGTGCCTCCTCCGTGTTGATCGATGCACGCAGAGAGTTCTCACGTCGGCCATGACCGCCTCAAGAGCAGCCACGGGTTGCCATAGTTCATCTCGCTCTGCCACTGCACACACCTCGCCACCTCCATCCCTTCCTTCAATCGGATCATTTGCTAGCGCGCTGCGCTCGCCTGGTACGCAGTCCCTTCCCCCTGTCAACAACATGTCCCCGTACTCCCCTCGCTCGGGTGGAGTAACCGCCGGAGCGCCGATTCTGCCCGTGCTTGCTGTCGCGGGTACACCTTGCTCGCTCTTCGTTTCCCCCCCCTGGTTTCTCAGCCGCCCCAGCTATATCCACGTAGAGTCCCCTCGTAGGCTCAACACCACTGGTTCTATTCGAGGCAAAACGGTGACTGAGTCTTCAGGCCCCGACTAGGCAAAAAAAACAGGCCCGGGGCAGTGGACCCAGTACTTCGTCTGTGGTGGTGGCAAGGGCCCTTAGACCAGGGGTCATTTGGCGATAGGGCCAGCACCAGTTAGCCCTATCTGAAGGCTCGATAGCCGCTGCAAGCCAGAAACAACACAGCAGCGTGCATCATACCATTCCCGAACCAGGAAATTACCAATCTGAACCGTGGTCGTCCGAACCATACCATCACTGAACCTGGAAACAACACAGTGGCGTGCGCCATACCGTTCCCGAACCAGGGATTTACCAGTCTAAGCTGTAGCAGGCTGTGTTGTCACCGTACAACACACTGTATCGTTACCGCACCAATGCAGAGCCTGAAGTAATCGCTTGGAGATGCTGTAACCCATATCGTGCCGATGCCGATACAAGACCGTGCCTGAAAACGATGCAGTGGCGTGTACCACGCCAATGCCGAACCAATACCGTTCCTGAAACATGTCGAACATGGCAAGACGCAGCGGCGCGACAATAGTACCAACCCTGAAGTAAACCGCCGCAATGGTCCCGGACCTGAAAATGAGTCACTACAGAGGTTCCGAACTTGAAATAAATCTCCATGAGGGCCCCGAACCTGAAACGAAACACCGCGATGCCACCGAACCTGACCGGACCCGAAATCTAGTACCGGGCTGCTGCGCCACGCGGATGCCGAACCCGTACAACCATGCCATGATAATTCCGTACCTATCCCAAACCTGATATAAAATGCCGCATCGTTTCCGGACCTGAAAACAAACTGCCGCCAGGGTTCCAAACCTGGAATAACTGTCGTAGCGGCCCCGGCCCTGAGAATAAATCACCGCAGCTGTCCCAAGCTTGAAAATAAGTCACCGTAGTGAAACAACTGTCACCGGGCCCATACCGAACCTGRAGCGCRTTGGAAACCGTAGGACGTAACCATGCCGTAACAACCCCCGTATCCGTACCGAACCAAACACCATACTGTCGACCCAAGGTAGCACCACCCCATGCTGTCCATGCGACTCCCGTTCTCAGAACATCCCAACTGCGGTAATGTTAGTAATCAAGCAAACCAGGGAAAGCGACGCAGGGAACCTCGACCATGGGCAGTAGTGAAAACTTGTCTAAAATCCGGGGAAAATGATCAATCCGGGGCCAGAGCTGATGGCGGGTAATCAAGGCGAAATTAGGCCAATCTCCCAATAGTTATGGGTTTCCGTCCCTTTCATCGTTTTTAATCATTCTTCCCTTTCCTTAATTCTGTTGTCGGAAATAGTAAATTAACCGTAAGTTCCATAAAATTCAATTCCGAGAAAGTTTAAATAAATGGCCGAATTCCTTTTGTTTCTTTTCTCTTTTACCATTTTTAATYTTTTTCTATGTTTTTAATTTAATTGTCGGGAAAATAAAATAACAAGGGTATTCCCCCTAGAATTAAATGCCGTGAAAAATAAAGAAATTAAGGGATATTATGTTTTTCGCTTCTCCCCTACTGGTCTTAATCCCTCTTCCCATCTTTAATTACGATACTAAAATAGACAAAAATTTGAGGCCCCATTTTGCCCCGGTCGTATGCTGCAAAAACGTAGCGGCGAGGTCAACTCCCTTGATGCCTCTCCGCGGCAGGCCAATCCGGGTCTAACCCTCTGAACGGTCGGAAATGTCAGTCCCTAGACATGCCGAGTGCGGCCACCCATCTCCCTATCTTTGAGGGTTACTCATAAGGCTCAGTGCGCCCAAAATCAGGAGTGCCCTGAGTTCCCCTAATTTTTGCTGCCTGGTCATACGAGACTACCATCAAAACACGGATTTGTCCCTGAGCCTAAGTCCCAAAACTGCAGATCTCAGGCGGCGCACTGCTTGTGGCCGCCTGACACCGGACTGTCGCTCCCCAGAATGGGAAGGAGCCAGGACCATAAGGCCCTGTTTAAAAAAAAAATAAAAAAATCAGAAACTTGGGAAATCATTTTCGGTTTTCAGGAAATCCAAAATTGGGCTTGCATCTCCACAAAAAGGCCCTCAAATTTTTATTTATTTATTTATTTATTTATTTATTTATTTTGTTAACACAAGAACAGAACCGTTTGGTTCTGGCTCCTACCACTCTGGGGAGCGACAGTCCGGTTCCTATTCCCCCGGCAAGTCGATATGGAATACAAAGGAGACTCACGCACGCTCAAAATAACTTTTTTAACATCGCATATTTTTGGGGGGGGATTTGGTTTTTCGTTGCCGGCATTTGGTGGGCATGCACCATCTGCAGTGCACCATTGTGTGCACGATGCAGTGCACCCCATGTATGCACACATCATGTTTCCCTTTCTCCAAGGACCTCCCCTCCTTGTGCCCCCCCCCCTTCTCTCTCTCTCTCTCTCTCTCTCTCTCTCTCTCTCTCTCTCTCTCTCTCTCTCTCTCTCTCTCTCTCTCTCTCTCTCTGTGTGTGTGTGTGTGTGTGTGTCTGTGAAGCAAACCCCCAAGAAAGGGCATGGAGTATGCCTTTGCATTTCTATGAACAAGTTGGTGCATATCACTAGAATGCACATCAGTAAAGTAAGGGCATACTCACACCGGTACTTTCTCAAGTGGCTGCAATTACAGCCAAATTCAGTCAAGAACGTCCTAGTCCAAGCATGCTCCACTGTCCATGAAACAGTTCCAATCCCACAGAAAAGAATAGCCTTGGGAGTTCTTTCTCAGATGCCTCTGTACCTGTTGTGACATATCCGGAGGTCAGAGAACTCCCAATGTTCATCAAGCCACAAGCTGTCATCTGTAAAGAAACAAAAAACACAGTACAAGACAAGTTTGCATTACAATTTGACAGAATGCATTACGAGTTGACGGCACGCATACAATACTTGTCTTGCGGAACTTGTTAGATGGTTCCTTCTCACAAAACACAAAATGTATATCCAGCCTAATCCAGGGAAAAAGGTCCAACTACCGTCTTCACCTGAAAAGAATGCATGGCCAGTGTAACTGCATTTCAGGCAACTTCCAGTCTACATACAGCAATAATAACCCAACGTCTTTTTCGGTTGAAGACAGTACTGCAAGAACGTTGACAACTTGATCAAGGGATCACTCGAGGGACTGGCCACCTCAACATCTATCTCCCTACTCTCATCGCTCATGCAATCTCTCTGCATGGAAGGAGCCAACTGGGGCAGGTCAAGTTATTTATGCTGGAGGCCGGCTCAGGCTGGCCTCAGTCCTGCCTCAGTTTGCCGCGTCGAGCAGCTGAGGTTTGCTGTGGCCCCAATGGACCTCAAAAACTTCAGGAACCCTGCAGAAAGTCTTCAATATGCACCTGATCTGTCGCCGTGGTTGACTCTTGGGAAATCGATGACTCTTGACTGCTTTGCCCGAGTTGGGTCTGATTCTTGAAATCCAATAGTCAACAGAAGGTCACCAGTGGTCGTTTTTGACCCTTGTGTTATGTGCCTGATTGAACCTCAATCCACAACCAACTCACATGTTCCCATTCACGCATGACATTAGGAGGTTTGGAGAGAGCAAGCTGACACAGCCTCAGACAAAGGGCTTGGGGACAGAGGCAAGTCCGCTGCTACCACAGCCTCCAGCAGCGAAGATGATGACCCGGCAAAGAAATCCCTTCAATGGCTAAGGGACTACATCGAAAAGGCTAAGAGAGTGCGGGAACACCTCTTCGATATCCGCACAGCCTGCATGAAACACATGGAGAGAACCCAAAAAAATTCAGTTGCAGGCTTTCAGACCTCCTCCAATCAGTACGATGCGCTGGAAAAAGCAGAAGAGTCCTCTGAGTACACAGCGTTCAGATAAGCAGAGAAGAAGAGAGCCAGGGAGCAAGGCCTCAGTGAAAAAGACATAACCCTGGCTGACGCTAAGGAAATCGTTCAGGAGCTGCGACCAAAGAAATGGACGACCACCATGAACCAGAAAAAAAAGGAAACAGCTAGGCTACGGAAATTGTCTGGCCGTGCCCACCGGGGCGACTTATTTTCGAACCCTTTCATCGAACACCATCTCCCTCCTAAGTTCCTAACCAATCAACCCATCGCCACGTGGCCCGGTCTTGCCACGGTGGCAAAAGTGACGACGATGACGCTAACATGAACACACACACAAAAAAGAATAAGCGAGGAGAAAAAGAAAGGAAGAGGAGGGGAACTCGGAAGAAGCAAGAAACGAGGACGAAGAGGAGGAGGAGGTGGAGGAGGTGGAGAAGGGAGAAAGGAGGAGGAGGAGAAGGAAGAAAGGAGGAGGAGGAAGAAAGGAGGAGGAGGAAGAAGAGGAGAAGGAGGAAAGGAGTTTGTGATTCGGATCACAAACTCCTTTCCTCTTCTTCTTCCTCCTCCTCCTCCTCCTCCTCCTTTCTTCGTTCTGTCGCCACGTCACACACCACCAACAAGAACGAAGAAAGCAGGTGGACAAGGAAAGCAGGACGATGGCGAAGAAAGGAGGAGGACTACGAGAAAGCATGAGGGCGAGGATGACGACGAGAAGAAGCACGGAAGAAGAAGTACAAGCAGAGGAGGAAGACGTCTGAAGGAGGAGTAGAAGGACAAGGAGATGGTCGAGGACGGAGGGGCGGTGAGAGTAGGAGGAGGAGAACGCAGCGAACTAACCTTTAGCGATGGCCAGCACGGTGACGACACACAGGGGCAACGGTGATGGACAGCGCAGCCATGACGAGGACACGAGGGAGCAACGACGATGGATTGCATGACGATGACCGACGACCGCAGGATGGCGCATGGGAGGGTGGCTACACAAGGCGGGGGGGATGCTGCATCAGTGCGAAGTTCGAATTCGAACCGCGGGTGTGGAATTCGAATCCGAACCCCAATTGAGCCCGGGCCCTACGGCGCAGATTACAATAGAAAAAAAAAGGGGCCTGCTGGGCCCTGATTTTGATTCCCGGCGCCTCCAAGCAGGGAGTGCCCGTCTCTGTGCCCCAGGGGCAAAAAAAACCCGAAAGGACCCTGCGTGCGATTTTGCGGTGGGTGGCCCACGGGTTGGACCCGGCGGGCCCCCCGGCCGAGCGTCCCGGACATGTTCCAGGTGAGGTAGGGGGTACACGGGCCACCCGGATCGTAGCCTAGGGAAGCAGCAAAACCAATCAGAAACTAAGTCTGCAAATAAAACAGTCAGGGATGAACCTGAACAAGAAACTGATTGTAGTCTATGAGTTTGAGTTCACCTCCCTCAGGCACATAGTGGAAGGCAAGGCCCCCCATGTGCTGACATCAGCCAAATTATCCTGCCCCGGCTCTTTGAGGAAGCGCACTGCCATGACACACGTAATGGAGGCCAGAATGGGGCTCGTGGACTTGGCGCCCC